TGAAGCTGGTCGAATCTATTTTAAACTTTAACAAGTGTAATAACAATGTTTTGCTCAAATTATCAACGTCATTAATGTTGGTGAGATAAGCATCTTTCTGTTGAATGAGCTATGAAGCGAATAACTAATACCAACCAAACGACTCTTCTTCTTCTTCTGGTCCCTTTGTCTTAAGCGTCGAAACAAAGGTCCATTTCTGCACCTCCTTGGCAAATGGCATACGCAGAGTTAAAAAAGTTTCACTTTTCATATTCACCAAAAAAGAATGACCAATAATACAACAACAATGAAGTAAAATGAAGTATTTTTTAATGCGTTGCATTGAAACAATGGCAGATTCTCCGTTTCTGTCAAATTATGGCACGATTTAAACCAATTTCACAGAGTCTTGGCAGTAAAATATCGAGCCCAAAAATGGAACCATGCCGAATGTCAGGGTGAAGGATAAATAAATAATTCCATTTTACATTTTTAATGCCATAATGCACCAAAAACCAGTGATTTTTCTGACCTTGGGAATTTTCTTAAAGCGAAGCATCCTGATCCCTAAACTGCCAAAACCACATAATATTTATAAGGCAAACTGAAGAATTACAGGTTTTAAGTACTTGTGAAAACGTGAATTTGGCTTTTTCATCCTGCTCATCTTCTTCTTCACAGCATGGACCAAAAAGTGGGATCGAGGAGAAGAAGAAGAAGATGATGATGATGGGCGGACACGCAAATAAGCATATTAAATTATATGCAACTTAAACCGTAAATTGCACGACACAAGTTAAAATGTTTACAATCAGAAAACCACGAGATTGCTATTATGGCAAAAAGTCTGCTGGACTGAGGAGAAGAAGAGTCATTAATTAGCAATTTATGGATCTTCTCTGCCTGTAATTTTATTCTCATCCTGCCTGCCTGCATACGATTCCAATCAAGGACGACCTGGACACGATGTGGTTTATGGACAGCATTATCCACAAACAAACAAATGCCAGGCTCACATTATCATTACGTTCGCATCTAAATGTGATGGGGATCGTTTTCCAAACTTGTGGATTCGACCAAAACATTATTCCCACAGGAAAAATAAGGCCCAGCCAAAGAATAAATTTCCATGCAAAATGACGCCAATTATTTTAAGCAAGAGGATCATCAATTCCTTTCAATGGAGGAGCAGCAACTCGCCCGTCTGGATTATGTAACCTGATAAGCAGGGAACAGCCCATTTCTGATTTTATACGTAACTACTCATGCACTTGGACGTAAGTAAAAATTGGACACTTGTGGACGACTCTTACATATTCGCCAACTCTGGATGGAGATGCCCACCTTGAGCAAACGAAGGCAAACCCAAATTGCACATCATTTATTACATTTCTTCCAGTGAATTCCTCGCCCGTCATTTAACAAGTCTCCTCGGAAGACAAACCAGTGACTGTCCAACCATGTCCAACGTTAGAGAATAATTCATCAATATCGACAGTCGTCGACAGGACTCGATTCATTATGTGGTCTATTCAGGAGCCAGATTTTTACAAATTCTTCCACTTTTTATGACGAGACGAGCCCTTGATTGGATTTTATTGAAGCCAATAAATGTCATCATCCATCATTGCCAAGCGAATTAATAAATACGAAAGAAGAGATCGAGCGAGACGGGCAAAAAATAACCAAATTAAGATTGATTGCAAAGATTTGTATGTAGTAGGTACTTGCTTGTAAAGCTTTTAAAACCATGTTTTATAGGCAAAACGGGAGCAAGTAGTCAATGTCAAATATTGTTATCGCTCTATAGCATAGAAGCAGAATGCATAATAAGACTTATTTTTTGTCTAATTTTAAAATGGGATTGGAATGCATCCTCCTCCTCCTCTTCGCTTAATGCATGTATGAGTTTGCGCTAATGAGTTTGTTATCATGGATCAGAATCAGAATAAATAGCATTATGCGTGCAATTTGCTATAAGTTGTGTTCAATATTCAATAAGAAGGATGTGCACCACCCAAGAATTATTTTATGCTGCTCTTGGACTTGTATGTACAATCGTTTTTTAGACCAAATCAAATCTACATGCGAGATTTCAGAAATCATCGATAAAAAATATTTTTGAAATTGTTGATTAGTAATGAAAGCTTGAATTTGTGCAACGACGGCGAGCTTGTGGTTGCTTTGAAGGTGAATTTTACAAATTAAAGTTTCAACAAGGTATTAATAAGAATTGAAGCATAGTCTCGTTAGAAAAAAGAAATAGGTTTACCGTGACGCTTATCACATTTAACGAAACTTGCTACCCCACAAGAGGCCAGCAGGCAGGCAGGAGCATAAGAACTGGCTGTGCAATTTATTCTCTAGTGGTGATTACAAGAATGGAAAATATAATTCAAAAACCCTTTAAATCTACCAAGATTAGTTAAGCTGCAGTTAAATGATTCCTGTTTACATTATGTACAAGAACCAATCAAAGCAGATCCCAAATCACTAATCAGCAACAACGCTGTATAATTATCGTAATGCACTTTGCAAATTTTGAGCATTTCTCCCTTATCTTCGTCCTTTAAACACGTACAGAGTTCATAAAATCATAATCTGACTGAAAGCAAATTTCTAATTATTATTTTGCCAAATTACTTAGGATTGGTTTGCTCTTCTCTCGTATCTACATTTTTATACACGAATGTATGTGTGTACGTATATACGTATAGGAGGAGATGGATTGTAGGTGGTGGTCGAGTGCATCAATCTGCACACGCCGTAATAATTAATTAAAATATTATCTAACTCGACTGCATCAGCGCAAGAGAAGGAGCAACAATAGTGCCATTTCTATTATTGCATAAAACTGAAACAACTATCACTTACTTTAGCAGAACTAGTTGTGTGACTGCTTTTCTAAAATTTGAATAAATAAAATTAACCAATTTCTTCCCAATTCGTGTAAATGCAGCATTATGACAAGACAATGGGCAAACAGCAATAAGACGAATAACGCTAATAATAGTGATTCCGATGTAACAGGCACTCTCGTTATTTATGAAAGCTTACTTATATACTTATCCTTAGATAAGTATACGTCCATGCAGCTTCCTGTCATCCTAGATCCTATGCTCCCACTTTTTAACGAATACGCAAATATGTACATATTATTATTATTACTCCTTCGACGAAATGAAGTGTCCCTTGTTTGAGAAATTTCTCGAGTGCGTAGATGAAGTGTGCACTCACCAGACTTGACTTTGACAGATGACAAGTTTTGTACATTTCCTAAAAATATATTGTTGCAAACTTTTACTAAACATCCATGCATTTCCCTGCCATGCCTCAAAACTCACTTTTGCCAATAGCAATTTAAACGGTAGGTATTATTGAGTAAAATTTACTTATTATGCAAATTACAACTTGTTCCTTCCGATTTGGGGGAAACGATAATCTGCCAAAGTTTTCAACAATTTTCCACCCTTGTCAATTTCTATAATCACGATTTATTACGGCGAGTAAACAAATGAAGGAATACGAATAAGTAATCTCTGATGATTGAGTTTTCATCGACTCAATAAAACGACTTGATTGGGATAACTGCAAATTGGTGGTGCTCCTCTGAAGAAGCCGATGATAGCCGCAGTCCAACCAAACCATAAAACGGTTAATTCAGTCCCATTCTCAACACGATCCACAAAAGAAACTCTGTCACTTTCATTTTTTATTTCATATTCTGCACATCCAAGTGTCGTAATTAGGCAGTTTGGCTGTCTTACACGCCACTAAAACACTGCTCAAGCTGCGGGGACAAGGGAGGGACGGTACGCGGTGCGTACTTATTTATTTGCATGCATCATCATTATCATACGTACATAAATAAACACCAATGTGCAACTTTAGCCAGCCACCGAAACTTCATAATGTTTATTATTATTAGAGAAGCTAACAAACAAATTTAATTTAATTTACATAATTCTGAATTATGCACATGAAGAAAAGCAGAACAAATTAAGATCTCTCTTGCACACCAAAGCAGTTTTTTATATGAGTTGCATTGTAACGATACTCGTTGTACGTGCACGATATGGTCAGTCCTCGTGTTGTTTAAGGCGTCATGGATGTTTTTCCTCACCTGTGTAAACCTGCCCTCTGACTGAAACGGTGATGAGAAAACAGAAAGTCTAGAGAAGATGAGCAAGTGTCCAAATGCCTCATTCTCGTGCTACACAGCATGCGAGCAAGATTTGTCAACTAACCGGACAAAATCGTTTGACATGCAAATCTTGCGAGTGACAGAGGCGACTGCTGCACTACTTGCGATAAGAGGAGAGATGCGCCTTTGAACTCTGCTATGTTCAGGATCCATGAACATTTTGAGGTTTGACTTTAAGAGAGAATGCCCCCAAGACCTCGAGAAGCTCATTACAAACACACAAGCGTGAAATTGCATTATATTCGAAATGGAATCTCAAAATGAAAATGTGCACGAGGAAAATAAAAAGTCCATTTTCCATTTTCTGAGGTTTTATGCATGTTACATTTTGTGCGGTGTACACGTACTTGTATATGTGCATGCAAAAATGTGCATGTATGAAATACTCATCGGTCTCTCTCTGATCCAAGACGATTTCTATGTGCTTTCTGAGAATTTGGCAAAACTCTGCTGAAGAATTAAAAAGCAAGGTTGTGAACGAGACATTCATAACAAATTTGTATTATTTTGATCCGTTTTACAAAACCACAAGAAACAATTCACGAGCTGTTGGGTGTGACCCAACTTCTCGGAAAACATTTTTTGCACTCACCTGCCTCTGTCTGTGAGTGCAAAAAATTGCAGCTGCTGTTTTCAGCTACACCCATTCGTCCCATGAGTATGCAAATCCATACGAAACAAAAGTGTAACAAATTCATCTCAATTGAAATGAAAAGCAATTTCGCGAAGGGTGTCAATCACTCGATTCGTTCGTTATTGATAAGTGAAAACCTGCGGCAAAGTGGGAAAGCAAATGCTGGATTTAATCGCGCCTTACTTGTTTCTCGGGATGTTGAGCGGTCCGCCGGGTCCGCTGGGTCCGCTGGGCGCAATGTTGAGCATGCGGGCGGAGGAGTTGTTCCCAAAGGGGGGCGCCTGCTGGTGCTGATGGTGGTTGTAGTAGGGAAAGGCGTACTGCTGCTGCTGCGTGGTGGAAGAGACGGACGGGATGGTCGTCGTCTGGGAGGAGGACGTTCTGGCCACACGGACCACGGAGGCAGACGAGGCGAGGTCATGAGGACTCGGGAGCACTCGCGACCTCGACGACGACGACGAAAACGACCTCGACGACTTGGACACGTTCACGGTTTGAGAGGAACGTGGATCCAGAGCTGTGGCCACACCCACCAGGACGAAAAATTGGACCCAGAAACGCCGCATTTTTTGTACGTGGGGTCTCACTCTGTTCACAAAAATCGTCTCAGTTTCCCAACAACGAGAGATTCCGTCACTCACTTATTGGACGCATTCACATTCATTTTTATTATTTCGCACTCCAACACACGTTTGGTCAGTGGATATGACAGAATCGAGCAATAGTTCGATCAATGTAGTAATCAAGAGCAGGTTGATTGGCGTGGTGACACTCCTACTTTAAACAACCACAAATAACCACACGCTGAATGAATATGAACAGATTGGAAGCAGGTTAAGGCAACTGTCGCAACTGTCACAAACTCTTCCTCGTCACGAAATACACCGTTCACAACTTTTGCGTTTTTTTGTCACCCTTCTCGCCGTGTTTGTGAACACCGAGATCACGGAACCGAGGGTGCGATGTCGGCTGCACGGTCGTCAATATTGCTTCTCTGATGAGGTTCACAATCTTGAATCGCCAATTGGAAAATGAGACGATATTGATTTCACTTTCTTTTGTTGGGTGAAACAGGTTTGATCCCAAGATTTGGTCTCACAAGTTAAATAAAGAGTACGCACGCACAGAGGTTGACGCAGTGAACGCCAAGAAAGAACTAATACAAGATCGAGCAGTGGCTGCAACAACAATCCACCACTTGCATCGACCAAGAAAAGGTACCACTTGCGATTGTTGGGCGAGCGAGTGAGTGAGTTGGTTAGCAGGGGAATGGAAGTGCAGAAGAAGGCGAGATGCAAGTGAGAGTGAATCCGAGCCCATTCATTCATTACTTCATCAATAATAACTAAAACTAACAAGTAACGTTAAGTATGTGATACTTTTAACACGATTGTCTTATTACCGTCTCTCCTCTCGCACATTGTCCTGTCCTCAATATGCACAAACCAACGGAGCCTTAAGTTGTGCACATGCATGGTTCGAAACTGTGCTCGAAAAGTGTTTCGAAATTTCTATTTTGTCTCATTTTGAGAACTCGCAGCGTCCTTAATAACCTTCTTACTCAGCCTGTGCTGGGTGTGGAATCGTAAAAACGAGCTAGAAAAAGCATGCTTACTTTTCATAGTGACAATTTGTATGCCCTGCAATTTTTTGACTCGACGCTCACCTGCAGTGAATGAACTATTTTAGAATGGGAATGAACAGGTATGTGTGCATAAAAAATGTGTGCATACATAAATCCACGTACGCTTGTAAAGTGGGATTGGAATGATAACACTAGTAAATTACCCCTCACACACACATGTACAAATGCACTTGGTGAGGTGTAACATGAACACGAGGTGCACAAAGTGGTGCAGCAGACACCTTAATCCCATTCGGCTTTCATGTCAAGCAATTCCTGGGTGCTCAATAGTGCTCGTAAAGTCGATCAGTTAAAAATGTGATACTTGCTCAAAGTCGTAAAGTGAAGAGACTTGTCTTCACTTGCCTCGCAGCCACATAATAAATGTGCAGATTACAGGTTGTTGTAGCATTCTTGGTCACTCCAATTTTGGGCATGCAGAATTTGTGAAGGGCTGCACTGGACAGAAACTTTCTTTCGCCACGATGACCTCCCCCTTGTTCTTGGTTAAGGGTTCAGTCAACCATTTAATTTCTTCCCACTGCACTAATGTTCAAGGGCAATTTTGAATTCAAAGTAGACAAGTGTGTAACAAGGGCATGTGAGTGCAGGGCTGGATGAAAAACTTGTGGCACTTGACACTTCATAACTTATCAGATATGACATTTTATTTAGTTTGGCAAGCTTTTTAGATAAGTTTTGTCCAATTATTTCTACTTCGTAATAACTCTGGCAGCAGCAGATTCTATTGGACGCACGTGTCAGTCCTGGCAAAAACAATCGAATCCCATTAATTATCTGTAAAATGAAAAGTTTTTATTACTGCAGCCCATTAGGATTGATATTTATAATGTGTTTGTCTACTAATTAATTAAAGCATATAGGAATGCCCAATTTCAAAAGTGTCAACGGGGTTGACCATCATATTTATTAATCTTCGGAGGTTACACGTGACCAACAAACATTTTTGCAACACTTTTTGGCACTGCGACCATCTTCTCATTATCATTGTCATTATCGAATTCAACCGGTTTTAATTGTGCTTTTACACTGCTCGTCATATTAAATTAGTACAAGAGACAGGTTGAGGCAACACTCTTGATTTTGGTGATCAACATATTGCAAACCATGAGCAGTGATTAATTTGGTGTCAATTTTTAATGTTACTTGTTACAAAATTATTATAATGTTATTGTTTCTCATCATCAGAAGCCAACATTGCGACACTTTTGGTCGCCAGCAGTATTTTTAAATATCACATAAATCCGCTCAATTGTGTGAACGTAAATATTCGCACAATCTGATTTAAGTATTGTAAATACATAATCTTCATTCATCATTGCTCAATAAAGTAATGGATGCACATTCGTAACAGCATGACCGTGGTAATGGCAGTGATAATGAGAATGACAATTTTATCGAGGGTTTTGCCAAATTTGTACTTCTTTATCAGCCAAATGTACCCAATTTGTAAAACGGTAGATAAGTACTACTAGTTAATTCTACGACAGCAAAATTATGCGAATTTTACCAGATTTGTATACAAATGAGATAAAATAAAGACGATTGCAGTGCCAAAAGTATCAAATCAAATGGCAACCTATGCACAGTGAATAAATAATCTCATCAAAGAGAGACGTAAATAAATGGTTGTCAAATTAGCGAAAAATTAATGTGCGTCTCGTCCCAATCGTAGCACGCTGATAAGGTGTAACTTTTTCAATAATTTTGTAATAATGCAACTCTCGTCGAGTTGTAGCGCAAATTTGTCAGGGTCAAGTTTGTAAATATTTAGCAAAAATTGTTTTCAAAGTAGTTTAGATTTACTTGGCCGTTAAATTGGATGAACATTTCGCAACTTTGTATGGAATTCAAAATCTAGTTCAACTCGAGTCTCGACTTTTTCGCGTTCTTATTTTCAATTACGGGGAATCCTTTTGTGCATAAATAGGATCGTATAGTTTCGTAAAGGTGGAGATGCATGGCTAACAATGGGTGTGCCAGGCTTGTTCTTTCCAGATTTTTTTAAAACGGCTCCATTTTCCACGACTGAATCGGTGTATTCACGGTCCTCAAACGTATGTATGTACATAATAATTTCGCTTTGGAAAGGGTGCATTTTTTATTTTGAAAGTTAAAAAAGTCGATAGTTTTTTAGTACTGGCCCGAGTTTTGACCCAAAAGTTATTTATATTTAGTGAATGTGTGTAATTCTACATGTTGCAAAAAAAAATCTGGAAGGGACAAGTCTGGCACACCCATCGTAAGATGAAATACTGTTAGTATCAATATATCTCCAAAAATAGCTTACTTGTCATGGCCGCCCAAGGTGAAGCTATCCACCATATAATTAACTCTTTTAATTATGACGTTGACATCCAGTTAATAGTTAAGCATTATTTTTAAACATTTTCCCCATTATTGGCACAAAGTTGCAGAGTTGAGACTATTTCTCATGACACATACATAAACGTGCGATTTATTCAGTCAATTCCTACGCAAAAGTTTTTAATTTGCATTGATCAATTTAATTAAGAAGCGGTCAAGGTGCAATATCTTGGGTTGGGTTTTGTTTGTTGCACTTGAGGGTCAGCAAAATCGAAGGTGCGACACAAGTCACACACACCCCGTCCGACCAGCAGAGACCCTTGTTCACCCAATCTTATCGCCCATGCATTGCATTTGCAGGCCCAAAATTGGACAACGACAGCCCTGCACAACGTTTTGCACTCATCACTCACAAAACGTGTAGGGATACATGATGATAACATTTGGCTAAAGTTAGCCTGCAAATTACAACCTGGGCTGTGCGATGCTTTATTGGAAAGTGCTTCACATCTTGACAACCCATACTTACCGCTGCCTAATGCTTCACTTGGCGAACATTTCCATAATTTATCTCATTATTGCTCCGAGCTAAAACAAAGGCAAGAATTTTTGTAAATAATTGAAACATGTAATGCAGGCCTTCGAGAGGACAAAGTCCCCTTATTTATGACTCAATAGGCATAATATCAATGTGTATCACACACATACGCACTCGTATGATTCGTATGTATACACTTGTGTACTATACGCTAAACTATTCCATATTTCAATGATTCACATTCACATGGCATAGCGCATAATAATAATCACACTTTTTTTAAGCTATGAAATTACATTGCAATTAACCTCTTGCAACGAGCAGAGCAAGTTCACCCATCACTTTTTCAGTACATGACACCGAGTTGATTGATGGTGAGCATTGCAGCAGATCAATACTTGGTACCAAAATGTGTTAAAGATTTGTCCATCTAGATAGATATCCATTTGTTTCTGCAGATTTTCATGACATTGACTGCACACTTCATCATATCAATAGTTGCAATTTAAACATATCGCAATCTCTACTCGTAGCTATTTATGACAAGTTTTTTCTGGTTAACAAATCCAAAATCTTCGACAAAGACCCCACGCGGCGCCTATTTGCATAGGAATTGGCAGAACAATATTACAAATTGTGAGTACAGTCTCGCAAATTTGTCGCCCAGCGTCAATTTTGGTTCATGTCGTTTGTGCTCGTGATACAGCGGCGTCTGTGCATAAGCAACCAGGAATAAATTACTTATTGGCTCTGCATACCTGTGGCGGAGACATATTTTATGACGGAACAAAGGCGACAGTAATCTGAGGCACAGCGAGAGATGACAACGAGGAACCCATTTGCATACGTTTTTTCAGCTACTGCATCCATCGTGATAATTACGTGGGGCATTTGTCGACATCTTATTTAATTTTAATTAGAAAAATCCATTTGGGGACACATTTCACGTAAACGATGACAAGATTTGGAGTATTTATATGTAAACAAAAGTAAAAAGTTGCGTCATTCGAATATCCACATTTACTTATTTGCGTAGTTATCATCATGATAATAATGTAACAATATTTACACTTCACGGGGAAGAATTAGCTCAACTCATTCATCTCATTTGTATTGAAAAGGAATTGTCTGACATGTTGGACAGCGTGTTGTTGTTGTTGTGCAGCGTCGACGACTAAATTTCGTCTTATTGTTACAATTTGTCTCGTAAGGGATTAAGGATTCGAAGTGTGGATGGATGGATGGTCATTTTGACTGAGGTTGCCTTGAACTCTTAGAAATCATCGTGCCCATTTCATATTCGCAGAGAGAAACGTGTCGTTAGCGTTGCACTTGTGTCAACTGGAAGAATGGGCGTCGACGGTCCCCAGTTAAATTGGAATTTGAGAGTGAGTCGTGCATGATCCTTAATTATCTCGCGATTAGTTGATGGCTAATTCTATAGTTTTATGATTGATTGGGTGAATCGGCAACTTTTTGACAGCTCGCGATTATTGCTCGACTAAGGTTACTCAGGCAGGGCAGCTACGTGCACAGAGCGGTTTTGTATTATCATGCACACAGTGGTCAACACTCTTGAAAAGGCTATTTATTAAAATTAGGTCCTTCTCTTCTCAAGCGATCACTTGACACGTTGCCATTTTTACGCCTCTTGTTTAATGTCGACGGCCGGATCAATGCCTCGGCCATCGACTACTGTACTAGAGAAACGGCTAAATAAATATGTGGTTGGAGGATAAAAACATGGCCTACATTGATACTTCCGAGTTCCGACAAAAAACGCTTCTGCATATTTTCCAACACCACGTATCTTTGTGAGATATTAAGTAATTGTGAGAAGGAAGTAAACGGCAAGGGACAGGTAAGTGTGTAAAAATAAACGTTGCGGCAGTGGTGAGAATTTGAAAGCAAGAATTCTGCTGAGGCTGGATGGAGTTGCTCGAGAAAAACTGCACAAATTGCGACACATAATTAAGTAATTTTGCATTTGCATCATTTGTACTCGTTCGTTTGGTTTTGACCACGAGTGCTAATTCCCCGCTTAATTTTCTCTGACTTAACAAAGAGGAAGTTTGTGTGGATCGCAATAACTTTGTGGTCCACACACTTTGCAGTAATTTTCTCTGATGTAATGGCCAAGTGTAACAAAGAGGAAGTTCGCCACAAGTACTGCAATCGTGTCTGGTTGCTTGGTTGGTTCACCTATCGATTAATCCGTATAATTGCAGAAATGACCACTCTCTCAAACACGCAGCAGGAGAAGCAGTTTCAATTTTACTTTTGCCAAACATTCGTTTGACACGTTGTTATTCTTGGGTGAACGTATTTGCACAGAGTAAAATTACAGCAAAATATGAGAGAGGAGAGGAATGGGGAGTTTTTGCCGGTTTACAGCTCGCAAAATGAAATTTAATGAGAGTTGTCACCTCCTTTTGGGTGAGGCCATCAAATTTTAATGGGCAGAATCAGGTAGCACACCAACAAGAGGACTTGATGATGAATTTCTTGCATGACACGAGAGTCACGACTTTTGGTTTCCTCTCGGAGTTTTGATTCTTTTTCTGTGACAGACAGACAGCAATACAGCAAAAGGAATGAAATGGATAGCTTATTATTATTATTATTTTCATGAGATTGCGTTGCTGCAATATCATTTCATTACATAAATAGTTGACCATTTGCACTTACGATGGTGATGATATGGCCACAACTGCATTTTGCAAATTTGAATTGAATGCAAACAGCTATAGACTTCCTATTGAATAAAGTGAATACAATAATAATGATGGTAGTTTTCGCTTGCTACAGTGTTGATGAGCCATGCAAATATCAAACACGATATTCATACATAATTTTATTGAAAATGAGACCAATAAAATTAGCTGCAAGTGGAAAAACTACAAGTGTGACCGCATTTTCAATACGAAATCATGAAGCCTGCTGAAGGTTGACTAACTTTGTGATGCACGGATGTCTGATATTCATTTCTCATACCACTTGTTGTCACTTCGTTAATTAAGGGGACAACTTTCTCCCAGTTTTGTGGAAAATCTGCCAGTATTCGGGAACCTCTGGTTCCCGAATCTCAATGACAGTATGTTCATTTATATGAAGCTGAAATGTGGTAAATACCAGGTTTTTTATCGCTACTTCATTGCTGTGAATATGGCTGTAGTGAACGGACGTGTACACAGGGCCTTGTTTGTCATTGTCTCAATCATCTCACCTTTTCTTGAGCAGTAATCAATTCTTCCGTTTCCATTCGTTGGAATCAGTCTCATTTATCAATCAGCACAATCAAAGATCAAAACCAATCACCAAACTCGAATGAAAAACAAACAATAAATGAAATCAAGAACCCAAGCTCATGTCCTGAATGCAAAATAGTACCACAGTTTGTCGTCCTGTGTCAAATACAGTAAAAAAAAATATTAAGTTTATGCTCTCCTCCGGTCGCAAAGTGAGAGGAATTTTAATGAGTACAAGAGTCATTCGAACAATCTATTTTCGAAGGAGTTGAATTTAAATTTAAATTGAAAATGCAAACAGAAGCACAAGTTGAAACTTAATGATTCTACAGTTCATAATTTATACATAGAGGATTGATTACATTGGTTTGGCGCAAAATTATTGACACTTTACGACACGATCCAGTTCATAAAACAATTGCAGATTGACACTTTTGTCAGAATAAAGGCAAGCTTTAAAGGGTTTTGTCTTAATAAATAACTGATTATACACTTTATTACTTTGTGTCCTTTTGTTGTCCCAAAAATAAATCAGTCCCGTGTTGCAAAAGCACATTAAATGAGATAAAGGCCACAAATTGAGAATTTACTTATTCGACATGAACTGCTCCACTTTTGGAGTGAGTACTTAGGGTAAATATAGTCCATTAAAGTAATCAATCTGCATCAGTCATCATCATCGCAAAATAATAATCTCAGCAAAACCACATCCACAATTAAAACAAGGGGACTTTAAACTTTAGCTAAAAAACTGACAGTGACATGGATTTCGTCACCGTATTATTGAGTCTGATGTAACTAATATATTCTGTCCTTTGTGCGTAATGTATCTTTGCCATTTGGCTAAAATGGGTGGCGAAAATTATTTCTAGCGTTTTTCTCGCACTGGGATTTTCAGCGATGAGATTAATTTCGTAATAATAATTGTTCATTGATTTCATGCCTATCATCATTGACAATTAATTAGGATTTCATTTCGACAACTTTTCTCTCTCAGCAGTCACCACCTCATCTGCATACAATTTAATTTCCTCCCCGCATACACACCTACCTGCCTGCGTGTTAGTTTATGTGCATGATAAACTGTGACTAATCCCCGTCACGTCACTAACAAAGTCGTTCGCCATCATTTACAAAATCATTTACTTTTATAATTACTGTGACTAATTTTGATCCCATTGTCAATTTGTAATTATTGTTCATGTCAAATTAAATCAGTTCATGGGCCCGGCCATAGCCCGACCCATTTTTCTACCTTTTTGGAGCTGGCGTTTTATCAAATTGTCAAAAGTCAATGGGACTTAACTGTTTCGGACATTAAACTAATTAAGAATTTCTTAAGGCATGCGACGTGAATAAAATGAGATCAGATAGGTATTAGAAATATGTATATCATCAGATTGCGAAGTTTGGTATGTAAAAATGGAAAAGTTGCGTCAGAACAAGATGTGCATTTAATATCATAATAATATCAATAATCCGATATATCATCATCGATCGACAAGCTATTTCTTTCCGTTATTTATTCTAGCGCATTAAAATGTATACACGGAATAATTATGTTAAGGGGAAAAGGCAGCTGCGACATGCTTTAGTTATCATTCCGCCTAATTGCAGTAATTTTATAATTATTGTAACATTTTACCAAGAAGAACAATGCACGCACGTAGATGGCTGAGGGACTTGCTTCCAAATAAATGGAAATATCTTCAAGTACTCTCGTCGTTGGTTAGTGTTATACAATCGAGTGATTACATGTTGTAGCAGAGAATGCAAAATTTATTGGAAATAAAACTGGTTCACTTTATTGGGCGAATTGAAAAATTATTGTGGGGTAGCACTGCATAGATAGCAGCCTTTGTTAGCCCTTCATAAAAAGTTGATGCATTATTGGGCGAAACATGCAAATATTTTATTATTCATTCGTGTGATATAATTATTGTCAAAATATTTGCCTTCTTATTATCTCACTTTTGAGCAATTATCGCCACCAAAGAGTTACGACGAAGTTGGAATTTTGCACAACGTGTCAAAAACTATTGATGGATTTTCTCGTAAAATCGCAGCCAGAACTCTTTTGACGTTTCCTACTCCTCCATCGAAACGTCGACATCCAAGGAACAACAGAACCACTAAGGACGGCATACAAAAATCTAGTTTACTCATATATTGATCAACTCAGCGGCAATTATTGTGATGCGATTACGAATTTATGCACATACACGACTCCTGTGTTGCGCTTTGATTCTTTCTCAACAATGAGATGGACACTCAATAAATAAAAGTGGCTTAATTACGGCTTATTAGTCCACATGTGCAACGTGTTGGTAATTTGTGGGGAGAAATTCATTGCAATCAATTTACACCTATGTTACACTTTTGGGACAAACTTGCAGACGATTCTGACCTGAATTTCATATGCAAACTTGTCTCTTGTAAATGAAGATATTTAGAAATTGTGCATGAGATTGAGAGAAAAATGCAAAAATGAGACGAGGCGATGAGATTGGAGTTTTTGAGACGAAAAATGAGACGAATGTGAATCACGATTTTCCAACCCGAGTTCAGTCTCAGTTCATCCTGGGCAGTTTGAGGGAAATTCAACTTTATGCCGAAAAGTTATTAATTTTAATTTGTGTGTTCTAAAAAAAAGGTTCTGATTAGATTCGAAGGATTAGAATTAAAAATGACATTTTACCACTTTGGAAACTGCATCGCCCTCGCCTACTTGCCCTACTACCTGGCTTACAAACATTCTGGATTGTGAGTCCTTCGTCATTTAGTTAAAATGTATTAAAATTAACCACGATTTAACGATTTTTACTAAAATATTTTTTTATCCATGATGCAGGTCAGAGTATGGAGCATTCTGGAAATGTATCCAAACTGGATTTATCTACGCGTTCACACAACTCTGCAAAATGTTAGTTCTTGCTACATTTTTTCCAATCCCTTCCAGCGGTCACGAATCACTTAGCTCATCAGAACCGGATGTGTTGGATGGAAAGGATCGTCTCGCATCCGTTAGTGAAATTTCAATAAGAATATTTTAATTATCAAGTGCCTACATAATAAAGCATAAATCTGTCGGTTTACTTCTGTCGTAGGAATTTCTGAAAGATTCGATGGACCTGGTGGACCTCGTAGGAATGTATTTCGCCCTCTCACGAATCCCTGGTCGTGGCCATTCTAAAGTCTTGACGGCTGGAATTGGATGGGGAACTGCTGAACTTTTACTGACTCGTGTCTTTGCTATTTGGGTGGGGGCAAAAGGCGTAGAGTTCAATTGGCGATATATTCAACTGGGTCTGGATGCAAATATTAGTTTGGTGAGTCTACTTATCGACTTGGCACACTCATCGATTTGTTTTAACATATATTTAAATTATTCGTGGGACAGGTTCACAATGTTGCGATTGCAGCTTTAGTGTGGCTCTGGTCACGGCATGACATGAAGCGTACGTATTATCCGGTGGTCGTCTTCCTCGCTGCAACTTCCTGTTACAGGAACCTTTTGGTGAATTTCCTCAGTTTCAGTGATCTCATCGACCCTTGGACTGTGCTGCTCATCAAGTCAATTCTCACCTTACTCATTGGAGGCTGCACCATCAAAATTTATTCTACGGTAGCTTAAGCTTTAATGTTAGAAGTTACACTAGGAGTTATGAATGAATGACTATTTTCGTGCGAATAATAAGTTTGTGTTCTATATTAAACTGTTGTTGAGAAATGACCGCTTTGTTGCATGATTAGGATGGAAGGACGACATGGCTAAATATTATAAATAAAAAATGATTCCGTAAGGGCAACCAAATAATACATACATAATCAACTGTTTGTTCTTTAGAAAGAGTTACTGTATTTTTTAAAGACTCCAACAGCAGAATACAAATAAAAACTTAAGACCTAGGTCTCTCCTTCTTTTCCTTGTACAAAGCGAGGAGGGAGACGTTGGCGACCTTCACCACCTTGAATCGGACTCCGGGAATATCTCCGACGGCGTGACCTTTACGACCGAATCCTGCAACCAGAACTTCGTCGTTCTCTTCAATATAGTTTAAACAACCGTCCCGAGGTACGAACGCCGTGATCTTCTTTCCGTTCTTGATGAGCTGAACTCTTACACACTTTCTGATGGCAGAGTTAGGCTGCTTAGCTTCGACACCAACCTGAATAGAAAATAAATAAGCGTTAAGATTGGGAATTGCACACCAGTAATTTACTTTTAAGTTCCAGTATTTTTTAAGATTCATATATAAAATTGTAAGAACTTCATGAAGCGGCAAAGACAGTAATCAAAGACCACAGGGTTCGACTTTCTCTTTAATTTCGGTGCTATTTCAAGACTATGATTAGATGTTAACTAAACACGTTCTGCCATAAACACCATTCACATGATTTTTGTTGACAATTACGATTCTTCACCCAACTCACCTTTTCTAAAACGATTCCCTTGGCGTGAGAAGCACCTCCGAACGGATTGGCCTTCCACCTTGTTCCCAAATGGGCCTTTTTGTAATCTTTATCTGCCCATCGCTGATCTCTTCGGTGGTTCACGTGCTTTCTGGCTGTCTTCAAACCTCGGGGCTTCCCCATTTTCGACTCTTACCTACTGAAACAAACAACAAGATGACGAATTATTAGTAAATTGTCACAAGATTAATGAAACACTATTATTATTGTTCAACAAATTTGTAACTAATTGCTCCTGTACACCGTATGTGTATTTACAAACTATTACAAACTACTAAATGTAAATCAGCAAGCAAATTAAAGTCAAAAACTTTAACCCCTTTCTAAGGGGCACTCCAAATTTATATGATTGCAAACCATGATAATTCCAAAATGAATTTAAAATCCAGAAACTTACAAAATTTTCTCTAAAAAATCCTGGTGATTCCTTGAGAGCGAGCACGATGTGTGGAGTGAAAGAAATGTGGTTGAACTTTCAATGGCTGACGGGCTCCGCCGGTGATCGGCCGTCGCTCGCTGGGAGCAGATGGCGACTCCGGCCCCCTCTCAGCTTTACTACCAACTTTACACTCCCATATTCTCAATTTTCCGATCAAGTTTTTCAAAATTTTGAAATCAGTATTAGAATTTAAAAAAATTCTTTTGTTTTTTAATCTAAATGTGCAATGTCAAGTTCGATGTCAATCTGCATGAATGATAATATAAAGTCGGGATGAAAGCAATGTTGAGAAATCTCACGCAAGCATTTGACGCATTGAGACTTTTGTCGTGCGGGAGTTGAATTAATTCTCTTTGCGGCGGAGAGGAACTGTTTTTGTTTCGCTCTTTCCCTATTTCCGTGCTTTTAGGTAGTTCTCTCTAATTAATTACTTGATTATATTTTAAATTAAATATCCATTTAATTAATGATGATTTGTTTAAATTGCAGGGAGTTATTGGAAGAGAGACTCGGAAAAGACTGAATTAGAAAGGAAAACCATGTCGGACGATAAACCGGTAGCAGGTAATATATTTATGTAATTATGCAACTTTGAACAGTGAACACATAATAGCCGATTACAATTACAATTTATTGTACATAGATGTGACTTCCGCAGCAGGTGAGCAGATAAAGAAGGAGCTTGAGGAAGGGAATAAGATGGAGGTGGATATCGATAAAGGTTAGGCAGGGAAAACTAATAAAAACTGCTTTATTTTGTTTTGAATTGACGAAAAATTATGGGTCGAATTTGTTTGCAGAGAACAAGGCTGCAGAGGGGACAGAGAGCAAAACTGGAGCCGCTGATGGCGAAAAGAAGGCGGATGAGGCTGGTGCTGGAGGAAGTGAAGGGGTTGCCGAAGGGATGGTAAAAGTAGTTGGGAATGCTTCCGATGGAACTGGAACGTCATTGTCTGGACAAGTACAGGTACAGATAGCTAGAGTATTAATGACTTGTAATTCCATTTTGTACAATGAATTTGTTCTCAACATTTTCAAAATTATGAATAGAAAATCATTGCAAAAGAATTGGATGTCCCTAGCAAAAAGCCGCGTATCGATCTTCAAAGCGTTCCAACCCGACAATATCTGGATCAAACCGTTGTGCCAATTTTGCTCCAAGCTCTCGCCGCACTGAGCAAGGAACGTCCACCAGAACCAATTGATTATCTAGCATCATACCTCCTTAAGCACAAGTCAAAGTTTGACGGATAATAAGCTACGTATGCACGAATAAGGTATCATATTTATATGCATGTTTTGTCACTGTTCCAATTTTAATGCTATTGTAATCTCTGAGGCACTAGCTCAGTGAATAGGCTGATGTTATTTTGTAATTACTATATAAAATTATAAGTAATCAATTATAAGTGAATATGTGAGCGAACGAGCTAATATTTTTAAAATTCAGTTGGCATATTCATTCCTTGTCTTTACTTTCATATTTAATAATCTCGCCCATCCTGCAATTTTATTGGTATTATGTTCAATTTTTTTGGCAAGATAAGAGTCAATGGTAATTCTTTACAGCACTATTTTAAAGGAATATTTATGTGATTGCTTATTATGCGTGGTGACATGGAGTATCTGCTATATGACGTTCCTCTTATTAAAGTTATCTTCTATATAAAATAAGACATAAAGTAGAATGTGAATAATTTAGACGAAATAGTTCTTTAATTAAAAGTTTTTCACCAATGAATATGCGTAATCTCAATTTGTATTATTTGACTAAATACTTTATCAACCTAATTATTGCATCTGCATTAACCCTGAAGAAGACAATGTTTGTTTGTCGAAAGCTTGGTGAAGGAAAAATAAAACCGAAGTTTATTAAATAGTCCTTCTAAGCCGAACCACATTTTCATTAATTATTGCATCATAAACTAGGCCAAGAATGGGGTGCTTTACGTAGTCTCATTATTATTTTTTATTATTCTCATCAGTAGTACTATGTGAAGTCCAGAGGCAAAAGTTTCACCCGAAAGATGTCCATTATTGCTGAGAATTTGGAACTGAAACTCCATGATAATGACACTGTTAGTCGGTTATGTTATTCTAACGTAGTTAAACCAGACTTTACTTACAACAAGAAAAGTCATCATACACAAATTAACATTCTGTAAAAATACATATTATTATTGATTCCGTAATACGGAATATACCGTATACAAATCATAGCACTTACAGTTACAGCTTAAAATCTTTTAAAAAGTTTTATGATTTCGTGTGTGAAATAATTTTGAATTCATTAGAAAATGAGACTTGGTCTCAAATCAAATAAACGAAAATTGTTTTTTAAAATTATTTTCATGATGACTTATATGACTGAAGTCTGATGGATATTTTTCGGTGATTTTCATTGCTACGAATTCCGAAACATTCAAAATGCATGGACTGAATCTCTACTCTTGATCAAAAAAGTGTCTATAAGTACAAACCAAATTATTAATTTTCATCTAGCTTGTTTGGTAACGGTTAGCATTATTGCATGGAGTCCATTGAATAAGAGAGGTACACAGACGGACAGGCAGGTTACCAAAAATGCAAGCCTTTCATTATTGTCATTACTTGATAAAAAATGATACCATTCAATGGATAGATCCAGAGTCGACAGCGAAAGCGAGGCAATAAAAAAGGACGGAGAAATCCAGCACTGCTCCTCCTCAGCATTGTTGGTGTGCAATAAGGGGCCCACGAGACAGAAAGCAAAGGGACCTCTCCTGCCAGTAGGGATTTGATTCTCTCTCTCTCCCTGGTCATTTTTTATATCACTCCATTTAATCCAAAGTCTTTTCGTCATTGACGTGATTCTGGTCCAACTCGCCATGTTGGCCAAAGGGTACCACAAGTCTCATGCACAAGGATTTATTCGAGATACCCATTTCATGGCGTTGTTGAATGCAGAAGAACCCTTTCTCTTATTGTCTAGTAATAATATGAATCCTGGGATGATATGGCACAAAACGAGATGCTAAAATTTTAAACTGGTGTTTAACCATAACGTATACACATATTGCCCATATTGCCAGCGTTAAATTTAGGAAAGTAGGCCTTGGCACTGGGTATTGCATGGACAGCTATGAAATGATTTCACTCATCCGACTACTTGTGTTTGTTTGGTGTGGAGAAAAGGGTTCGCTTTTTTATATCAAAGTCTGATCAAAAAGATTTTTTATGCAGGTCGGAGAGAGGAGCATTTACTCATTTTTTATATCAAGTCGAGATTCAAAGACTGTAGTCAAAGGGTGCACATCCAGGGACCGGACCCTGGATGAAGCATTCCTTGCCCATAAAAAATGGATCTCCTTTGATCAAACACAATGAGCTCGTGCTATCAAATCAAACCTGTGCGGATGGCAGGCAGGCAGGCAGGCAAGGGTTGAATCCATTAAAAATGTTTTTTATACGCCAACCGATAAGTTTTTATTCATTAATAGCAGACATGCTTATGTAGACCTGAATGAGCCGCTCCACACTCTGCTCCCATCGCCGTAATCGGGCTCAGTTGCATTTTGGAAGCATTACGGTTAACATTTTAAATTATTTCACAACTTATTTCTGCTTGTCGAGTTGCCTTTCTCTCTCGCTTACTGCGCTACGGCAAAGCTGCTGAATTACAAGTTCAATTACTAACATCAAATATAATAGTTTGAGTTGAATCCCGATTTGGTGATTTTTGTCGGGTTTTGTCAAGTATCCAGCTCTATTTTAAAAAGTAGACTTTCACTTTCACACACAAATTCATCCACGACATTCAATTTTGAACTATTGATTTTTTTATCCACATACAAATTTAATTTAAAATCAGGTGTGTATGCACTTCAAATGATAGTCTAATTTTAAATTTAAAGTTGTAGGAATAAAGTTTGTTCTTTCTGGAGGAGTAAAAGCCTCAGGATTTTCTGTTTTCTGTGCACTTGGTGGGCGTTGTTGGACTTGTTGGTCGGATTGGTTGGTTGGGGGGCTGGGTGGTGGTGGAAGTTTGGTGTGGGATAAATCTAGAGTCCGCAGACTCGGCCTGAAAGCGGAATGGCCAACTCTGGTGGGGTTGGAGGAGTTGGAAAGCAAATTTGGTTATGCTCGTCGACATTAAGCAGGCCGACTCTGGTCTCCACCGTTCAGTTCCCCTCAACCCTTCCTCCCATGCAAATCCTGTTCGGCCCAATATTCAAAATGCAGCTTCGTTTTCTCAAGTGCTACCACACTCTCCGTGGTGTTACAAGGCGGAAGAGTGTCGAAACGTGGAAGTCGTTGTTCAAATTCAAGAAAAGAAAGTTTACAGTTTCGGAGTTATTAGTTTAATTTTAAGGAAAATTAAAATTTTTAACGGTAATAATAGTTGAGCAGAAGCATTTTGTAAAATATTTTTTTAATGCAAGTGTCGCAGAAGTTCGTACATAAATTCATTTCTCCGAGTTTAGGAAATATATATCCAGGTTGAAAATATTTCTGAAATTAAAAAAGAAAAAAATAATAACTTTCACTTCTTATTTAGAATTTCATTATTTTTTGATCAACCTTCACTTCCTTTATCCAACTTTCGACAGACGCATTGTTGCAAGTATAGAAAAGTAAATAGATAATCCAGTTGTTTAAAGTTCTCAGTAATATTTCCACTTATTTGAGCTCCATCTGAAAATATTACAATGAATTTACTGATATGTATTACATTTTCTTCACTTCTCTCGTAACTTTTAAAGGCATTTTCCATAAAGATGCATTATTTTGTTACTGCTGCTAGTTACTACAATCTGTGCCCTTCACTATTACCGACTCTCACTATTTTTGACAAGTGCTTTCTGCAAAAATCTACCATATTTTATCTACTTTCTGGATTGGCTAATCTTTGCAAATTAATTGGATCTTTTCATGGGTAAGTACGAAGCGGAACTTTCTCGCCTTTTCTTTGCTTGACCAACTCATTTATAAGTAATTAATAATTGCATAGTTGAAATCATCAATTGACCACCTGAACCTGTCCAGTGTACTAGCAGCGAGATTTGCCAGAATGAGAACTAAAGTCATTTTGCTTCACGAGCCGTTAGAATTTATTTTACAAAAATTAGCAAAATTATTACAATTATTAAATTCGTATAATTAAAATCAAAGAATACTGTGTAATATTAGGAATGTCAAATTAAAGTAAAAAGTAGTGTTGGGCAGAGCAGAAAAAAAAACTGGGTGAAAGCGTGCCAAGAGCTTCACAATTTAATAAAAATACAATACGGCGTGATTCGGAGGCAACAAAAAATTCAACCCTTTCTTTCGATTTCGACAAGAATCCCTTTTCCATTTAGGATGATGATAGTGGTTGAGTGTTTTTTATAAAGCACGCACATACGCACCAACCAAATGCTGATGCTGTAGACAGCCCACCTGAAATAAGTGCTCAACCCTTTGATATATTTTTTTATATCAGGTTTTTTATACAGTTTAAATCCAATCTGTCTGTATTAGTTCAATCATTTATTCCCTCTCAGCCCTTCTAATACATACATCCGTCCATTCATACTCGTGAATGGGCGAGAATGTTTTCCCTTCGTATAAATGCAAAGTCATGATGTCAACTGAGGATGAGTGCTTGCATGTGCCGAGATCAGATAATTAACAAATTGTTTATATCGGAATCTAAAGTGTTTTCATACTTTCTATTTCACACTCAATAAATAATGCATTGGATTTAGCCAGGTCCCGACGCTGATACATATTATGTAAAAACAGAGCGTGTTTCTATAATCCGGCACTGAGGATGAGTTAGGGGTGAAGATCTGCAAAATCATAAATTGTCATGAAAAATATTTAGCAGATAGATAAAAGTGTATGCAAATATGTACTCTTTTCAAATATGTCCACCAGAAGTGCTAGGCAACAGAGATTTATAATCCATTCGCTCTGTGTGGTGTACAATCCAATAAATTTGGTCTTCATATCATCCGTTTAGTACAAATAAGTAGTTCTTTCTTGGCTGGTTGGTGAAGAAAGATCCTGATTCGGAACCAGTTCAACCCTTTCCAGTGGTATTAATAGCGGTAGCATCTTCGTCATACTGATTTCTTTCTTGGTTGGTTGGGCATCTCGCCTCCTCAGCCACTTGTTCCCCATCCTGTAGCATTTAAAGGATAAAAAACGGATGAATAAAGATGAGCTCAACCCTTTTTCCTCCCCTCCTCTATTCTAATCTATGTAGATATTGCTCGCATGGTAAAAAATTATAGTGCTGATAAGAGCAACGCCCTTTTGTAGACGCTCCCGACAAATCGGAGGGACGCTTGTTAAATTTAAATTAATGCTCACGCACTCCTTCTAAAATGTTTCACCAGCAGGAAATTGCCACGAGAAAGAAAGTCTACATAGTTGGGAACACAATCCTTTCTATTCATTCTTACACCGACTTGAATACATTTTTATGCACTTTAATAATTTTTAGGACTAATTTATTGTTCGATCTTGGACCAAATTTTACAAAATGTTCAATTCAAAATGTAAATTTTGAAATATGGAGAAAATTACGTACCATTAGAATTAAATAATCGTAAGTGTAAAAAAAATTGTGACAGTTATTTACCTTCGCTTTCTTCTTAATTTTATTCTGCAAACTTTTTCGCTGCAATCAGTGTAATTACTAATTGGTCAAAGATTGGATTGCGTCGTCGTGGTCCTTTCTCCTTCCTCAAGGGTGCGTTCTCTGTGCTTTCACCAGTCTGTGGTGGCTTTCTTTTTTCCCCTGTGCCAAGCTTGGCCACAATCTAGAGCTAACGGATGGGAGACTGAGTGAGCCCGTATTCCGTAAATGAGGAAAGGCTGAGCCCTTGAGGGAACCGACTGGAAGGACGAAGTGAGATCTAACGGTTCTTTGCTGCTCCCAGGGCTCATTCCATTCAAGGCTGCCTTTCAGTGATGCATTGTTACGGGACGAAAAGGTTCCAGCGATTTTTGGGGAAAATTCACAAAATCGAGGAAGATGGAGCGACATGAGTCATTTTAGGCAATTTCTCCAGATATTTTCCAGCGTCATGAATTTGAATTATGAAAAAGTTTAGTTACCGAGTTTTTCAAAAATATTCCAAAAATTGAACTTAAAATGGTCATTACAATAATCTGTACAACGAGTTTTTGGGCCTCATTGAGAAGGAAGGTTTGATAAGCTTTTGCAAACTCAACATTTATGATATTTACTCCGTTCGGTATTTACCTCCAATAAAAAAAGTTAAAAACATTTCAAAGTAGGTCATCGGTCGGAGTGAGCCTTTTCTTTTTTAGAAACAAAGTAGTCGTAATTTACCAAATTAGTATACGAAGAAGCAAAGTCTAGCAACAATGGTTTAAATAAAGGAGCACGTAAATATAGGAAGGTGGCTTCATTTGAGGGGAACCGTTTAGTGCGAGGAGGGCTACTCACTTAGGGGGCTTAGAAAAGAAGGAGGGCGAAATAAGGTTCCAAGATTTGAGAGCCAGATTGTAAAAACAGAGCCGTTTTCGTAGCAGAGACGCTGTTATGAAAATGCACAAGAAGATGTTATTAGCCCAGCCAACCTCGTCCACAATCTGTTATTTTCAAAACTCCAAATCATCCTCGTCAAGTGTGCCTTTTCGTCTTCCTGTTATTCTAAATGCATCCTTGGATAAATGCATAATAATCTTCGGGAGAGGGTTCCTCCACCCCACTTCATAGTCGTAAAACCTTTTTTAGGGATGCAAGATGTAGAAATCCCAGAGAAAAATCACTTGTGCATTGTTAGTCGTATATTTACCACGGATATCTCTAAAAATCTCGCATCTTAAAAAAGGCAACTTCACCCCGAGAGTAATGAACATCATGATTTGTTAAAGACCTGGGCTGATCATGATAGACATTACAAAATCCGTAAATTAAGGGTACACAAATTTCAAAATGCAACCTCATTTTGTAACAAATAAGTGAAACCAAATAGGCGAAGGTGGCTGTGAGATTTCCATTTCTCATTATTTCGCCTTTCTTCATTATTTCCTCTCTGCGACCAAGGTGTTATTATTATCATCATTATTGAAGAAAGATGAGTCGTCATTTTTCTAAGGAATTGTAAAAGCACCGTTACGCATTTTTTTTGGTGGGAAGAAGAAGGCAATTCTGTGGTTTTGTGATATGTATTCACATACATATGCATGGACTAGCTGACTGATAAATACTACGTAAAGTAAAGTGGTCGAGTGGATAATTTCATGAAGAAGAGGAGCGTCATTTTGTAAACCAGATCTAAAAACTGCATCTGTTATCGAATACATGCATCACTAATCTCGCGTATATTTTACAAGATGTTCTCTCCACCACAATTGTCGCTTTTAGTCGGTAACTAAATATGTAGCGTCGCATGTATCTGCACAACCTGTGCACATGAGACAATAATGACCAACCTTGTGTATACATAAGTACGTCGTTTGACATTGGGAATGAATATAAAATCTGGCACATTTGGCAAAGAAGGAGCAGCAGCGGCGTTGGGAATGGGCAAGGTAATGTTCAGCCTGCGCGTAAAAAGGTGGGGAATCTAATGCATATTATACGGGATCGTAATGTCCCTTTATTTTATGTGGCCCACCACGAAACCAGAAGCCGTACATACATTAAGAGTGCAAAAGTAGGCTGGTGAATCTTTAAACTCTTTGGAATTTTGCACTCTGGAGAGTCTTAACCTGCGTCTTTGGAGAGCATGAAACTCTTCCTTTGTTGTTATCAATTCGCTGGCTGTGTGTGTAGCACGGGAGGCATAATGGTCGGAGGGGCAGAATTAGTGAGGAGAGCATTTTTTGAGTACGGAGGTCTCTGCCAGGTGAGCAAGCTGGTCATTTCGTGGGAGAGAAGGGAGGAAGGCGAGGTGGGGGATTAGTACTTTGGGACGTTGCAGAAGGAATTAAGTGGTTTTTAGTATTTCTGGCAGAATTGCTGTCTACATGTTTTGTTTTATTTTATGCTCAAGTAGCAGCTTTCTCCCTTCGTTAGTTGGTAATTCTATATCCGCTCTCTCCCGTCCCAGCCTCAACGTCTTCATGAATCCAATATGGATGAGCATCTCCCACTCACCCAGCAATCCTCCTTCCGCACATCCAACAACCAATTTGGTATCAAGTCCCTCGGCCTATGCACACCTCTCACTTACACACTTTCTCCAAGCCCACTTTCGCCCACGCGGACGACCAACTACACATGTACTCACTCAGGAGAGGAGTGGAATAAAAGAAGAGGATGTTAATGAATGACTACCATACACAATCCGTAATTTGCCCTCTCCTTTTTTGAGAGGGAGAGCAAAGAAGATGGATTTTATTTATGCGTTCTTGAGGGCACCGACAGTGAGGTTTTCTTGGGCTTTGGCGGCTGGGGAGGCAGGAATTGTATATTTATTTATAACTACTTTATAAGGAAATGGAGAATGGATGGCGGCGAGCTTCCCCGAGGAGCAGGTCGAGCCATTTCCTAATGTACATCTTAAATCACACCATGAATAATTTGTGGAGAAAGTCTAAAAAGCATTAATATGGCGCATAAACCTCCACCACCGAGCACTCCGGCTCTGGAGAAAGCGGAATATGTATGGGGCAGGGAATAAGGGTCGTGCAGGGCTCACTCGGCCAGACCTCCACCAGTCCACACTGCTCGCCCACCAGCGTTGTCCACGTGCAGGGTACGCGATGAGAACGGAGGGGTGAAAGGAGACGTTAGTCTGGCAAAATAGCAACATTTTGGGTTCAAGAGATACTCCTAAATGACCTCATATATTTTTATGAGGCGAGTTTTGTGGTCAGCTAAACTTAACTTGGCCACCGTAACGCTCCTGCTCCTCCTGCTCGTCCGATGGTCGTTGGAATGGAGTGAGGATCTAAATTCGCCTTATTACACATATGCACGATAACTTTTGCCCCAGAGCAGATTATGCCATTTCCATTCCACCTGGCAGACACTCCTCCTCAGCTCCCCACCCGAGCTCAAGTCCTGTCGTAAACTTCAACTAAATTTTACTCCATTCACTCCCACATTCCGTCATCATTAAAATTTACATCTTTTTCACTGCCACTTTGCCAAGTCGAATATGCATTCGTCGCTGGGCTCCCGTGGTCTCGAATGCCTCTTGCCCAACACGTTTAGAGGAGAAAACGCACGAGCTGAACCGTTGTTCTTGGGTGAAAGAGCAGAGGAGCAAATCTTGTCATCTCCCATGTACGAGTAAAATTAGTTTAGACTTTCAAGTGGTTGTGGTGGGGGAATGTGCGAGGGGAGAGGAAAGATTGGACCAAGATATGGTCATCCCCAGTCTCATTTTTTTTACAAATGCCCACTTCAAATAATGCACAAGATATATGTGCACGCAGGAGAGTGACCAATAAGTAGATGATGTGATGATACATTTCTGCGCCACCCTCGGAAAAGTCTGTTGAGCTGGTGCAACAACATGGACTTTTAACCCTCCGACTTATTTATGACTTGACTCTGTGATGGTCTTGGTCTCGGCTTATTCACAGCCCCCGAGAGGGAAAGCCCGACAACAATGAGGAGGATGATGAGTATGCAAAGATAAAGTCAGAGCTCTGTTCGCTCCGAATAAAGAAGAATGAGTGGAAAACACATCAATCCAATCCGACAGGAGATGAGAATAAATACGACCTCCAGCACCAGTCCCGTTCCCCTGCAACGACTTTCAGCCACTTTTTCCATAAAATCACCACTCATTTCCATTATTTTTAGCAAGTATTGTCTTCCAACTGCCCCATTCTTCTCTCCTCGTGGATAAGCTGCAGGACGAGTATAAATAATTCTACAAAGTGATACGTGGATCGAGTCTTACGACACGTCTGACGTAGTTCAGAGGAGGACAAGTAATTTCCGGGTGGATTTTACATGGTGGCAGTCTCTCTCTCTCTCATTTCATTGATTTGACACCTCTTCCTCTTCCATGCAGCTCAACTCTTGCTCGGAATACATCACCCGCTCTGTCGTCGTCTTTTCAGGAAAATGCCAAACATTTTCTATCCATCGGATCCCTTTGAGTTCCTTCAAAAGGGAACTTTTCAATCATGGGATGCTTGCTTTGGCTGAGTGGCGATGGCGATGGCGATGGTGGTGGTTGGTGTGATGCGAGAATTGAGATTCGCCCATCCAACACGGAATGAATCCTTTTGATCCGGATTGAATAAACTTGGTTGGACCACACCACGCACTCCACGGTGCATGCCAAGCACTCCGTTATTATTCCCAAATTAAGGTGCAAAAGAGTTTAGAAGCTGTGCAAGGAGAGGTTATCTTAAAAAAATACTTTTATGAGAATGCAGTGTGGATTTGAAATGGTGAAAAGCAGGAAAAATAGTTGGGTTGTTAATTTGCATTTGATGTGTATTCAAAGCGTGAATGGGCATAATATTCGGTTTTGGGCTGAATGACGAGACGAGGAGGACGACGAGGACTGTGATTTCCCCGAAATCCTAAGCCATCATCACCATCACTTTCATTCCCATTATTCCGTCAGACAAAAAGTCCTTCTTTGGTTTTGGCGTTCAAATGCTTTGCTTTGTAAAGCCAGAATTCCCGGATTGATCCTCCTCCGTATTCTATTTTACTTTCTTGTTTCCTAACTAAATTGCATTGCATTCTATTAGACAAAATAAAGGCTGAGGGAATCTGGTGCTCCTGCTCGCCCAATATATTTATTTGAAGAATTGAGGAATCTTCACTTTGTTGTCCGCTTTGAAGTGAGAGCGGATTGGAATTTGAACACCGGACACTTGGTCGGCTGGGTAAATTCGGGCTGGACGTGTGGTCCATGGATATCTACGCGTCCATGTTGTGCAGAAAGGTTGACTGATAATGGAAACGCCAATTCATTCCTCCAAGATCAAT